AAGGAAGGAAGGAAGGAAGGAAAAGAAAGAGAAAAATTCTAAAGCACTGAATATTTAGATGGAGGAGCAAATAAAAATGCAATAATCCACAACAAAATAAAGCTGATGTTTAAGCATTGTGAACACAAGCCATTAAACTGAAATTAAATCAGCAATTTATGCAGCTAATCACAAAACAAATATTTAACACCATTACACAGCAGGCATTTTCCTAGGTACTAGGAGATATCTCTGTATATCTCGCTATACATGTATCACAATGAAACAAAACATGTGGTTCTTGCCTGCCAGGAAACTGAACATTCTGGTGATATCCCTATTTTCTATTACTTATTATACACTATTTTAATTTTCACTTGCAAAATGACTTTTAAAGTACTCTCACACCCTCAATTTTCACATTTTCTTTTTTCCCCAGGTGATCTTAAAATCCTCAACAACAAATGCTTCTACCACAAGGAGAACTGGGTCAAATTTTCACATTTGGATAGAATATTGTTTTGTAGCTCTTCTTGTCATTGTTCATTTTATCTGTTTGATGTGTTGATTAGGGTGTGCTTTGGCAATTGGTCTCCAATATTTGGATTGGAGAAATAAGTGATTGTGGAGGCAGGCTGAATGAGGCACCCCAGAAGCAGATTTAGAGGGACAGAGGGCAGCATGGGGATAAGGAGTCAAGGACATGTGGGAAGAGGTGCCAAAGCTGCATAAGAAGCATAAGACGGTCTTTGCACCTTGTCCTTCTCCTTCCCTTTCTTAGTTTCCCCCTTTTGTTAGATGGGAAACAGTGCTTCCCTACAAAAAGAAGACCCCTTGAGATACAAGAGTTCCTTCCTTTGATGCTCTATAATCCTACTTTAGAGAGAGTCTGAGGCAGTGGGTTAAGGAGGAGAAGGGGTAAGGGGTGAAGCAAGTCCCAAAGCCAGCTGCTTGTGGTCTGGGGGAACTATCTCCAGACAGAAGAGAGACTCAGCTTTTTCTTCTGCTTTCTGGACTTAGCTTCATATGCTTAGACCTTTTAGTCAGCGTTCACAGGACACTGACAGACCAGGATGTGTGCAAAGGGTCTGGAAACCACCCTGGTTTGTCAATATCCCTCTTGAGACCCAGCAGCTAGCACTGAGTATAGTTCTTTAGCGATATAACAAAATTGTTTCCATATGAATTGATAAAAAATTTCTTTTTATAATATTACAAATTAAAAATTATATATCACAGCATTATCTATCTATCTATCTATCTATCTATCTATCTATCTATCCATCCATCCATCCATCTAGGCAAGTTGTCTTCAAAAGCTTAAAAAATTGCAGAGGATATTCTGTAACCTTATTCCCGCAAGGGAGAAAGGAGGGTGCCAACATAGGCTATATGCTACAGAATTAAGTTAAGATCTTCATTTTCTGAATTTTATTTGAAAGGTGTAGCTTCCCCATTATACACTTTAAAGGCTAGTGCCCCTAACTAGCTTCCCCACTCATGTCACAATGGCTGCTTATTACTGCTGAAATTCCATTGCAGTTCTCAAGTTGCTCATTCAGGATTTGGAATTCTAATTCATTGTGAAGTCTAGTCCCTAAAGCATCCAAGATTGTAAGACTGTGACATCTTAGGACTTACCCAAGGGTTTGGTGTTTTTCTTTTTTTTCTTTTCTGTGTCTACTTTTTAGTTAATGATGATAGAAGCAAGATGTTAATGCCAGAAAGCAGAGGTAACTTTTCCAAAAAATCTAATGGAAAACAAGAGGAAAAAGAGATGTTTGCCTAAACACAAATGTCAGAGTCTGGGGCAGCTGGGTGGACTGAGGAGAAGTCAGTGCTAAAGGAGAGAGTCGGGTGAGGAATCATAATTAGAGCCTTTTCAAAAAACACACAGCCCTGAGTTCAGCCTGTACTTAAGGTTCATGGTGAAGTTTAGCATTCCTGGCCATTTTGTTCCTGACCTTGCTTCACAAGGGCTCTTCCTTTTACATCCCTGTGTTCTCCCAAAGTGTCACAGGGAATTCTCAGCCTTTTGTGGACATCACAGAAGTAGAAACTGTCTGGAAACTTGCAAGTGGTACCCTAGGCTATTGGGTCACACCCATCCTCCAGGTCTTGCTGTCTGGCTAGACCAGCTGTGTTCCTTTTGATGCAATGAGGATTCCTTAATAAGATAATAAAGGAAAACTGTTCCTATTGAAGATGTGATCACAACCAAGAGGCTTTATGCAAATGAGCACTGAGGCCCACACGGAAGGTACAAAGGACAGGCAACCCCCACAAGCTCTGAGGCTGCAGTCGCTTCCACCACAATAGCTGCATTGTCTGCTGCTCACGGTGACTCAGATGAAACCACAACTTTAATTGGCACTCATGCAAAACACTCCATTTTTCACAATATTTGAGTTTCTGGCCGCTTCCTTCTTTGCTTTCATTCCCATATGCCTATCATAGCATATGCACATAATGGACACACAGTAAACACTTGCAGACAGACTGAATCCTACAGCAGACTGGAAAGCGTGCACGCCCAGGTTTTTTTGGCAGGCAGCCAGGTCATTATACAGCTTGACCAACTGTGAAGG